TTCTATTTTCCTGTAGGGCAGGATATACGTCAACATCCCATTTCCTGTATCTCTTATTTCCCAGTTGCATGTGAAAACAATTTTTTTTAACATGTGTTNATCTATTTTCCTGTAGGGCAGGATATACGTCAACATCCCATTTCCTGTATCTCTTTATTTCCCAGTTGCATGTGAAAACAATTTTTTTTAACATGTGTTTTTAAAACTTTGGGTTACAAATTTTCTCCCACACACCCTCATTGAAAAGGCAAGCAACTCAATACAGGTTATAGATGTATAGTCATGCAAAACACTTCCATAGTAGTCATTCAACCCTTGGTTTGAGCAAGAGTTCTTAACCTGGGATCTAAACCTGGCATTTTTTTCTAATATTTTGATAACTATAATCCAGTGTTCTTTTGTGATACTATGTACTTTATTTTATGCATTTAAAAACATGTCTCTAAGAAGAGTTCCATAGGCTTCACCAGAATGCCAAAGGAGTCCATGACATACACAAAACTGGTTAAGAACCACTTGTTGAAAGATCACTCTAGGGTCCAGGTACAGAGATGTCCATGTTAAAGACAGTCCCTGAATAGGTTCAGTATCTGGGAGGATTTCTTGAATGCTCTATTGGAGTAGGTAAAGCCACAGTGATAAAGGAAATGACTTATAAAAAAAAAAACTATGGAAAAATAACAATGAACAAACATAATTCAATTCAATTCCAAATTATTAAGTAACTGTTATGTGCAATTCACTATGATAGGCACTGGGGATAAGAAAAATGAAATAAGCCACAGACGCTACCTACAAATCGCTCACAATCTAATAAGAGAAATAATATATGCCCTGTTTCAATGCCTCTTATTCCTCTGTCGTGGCACAGTCCTCTCCGGGCTAGAATTCCTTTGTCTCACTGAATCAGGTGGGAAGCAGTATTAAGTAGCACTGTTGGAAAAGAGAGGCAAGATCTTATGCCATATGTCCCCAGGATCACCATCCCCCAGGCTTCCATTGAACATAAGTGAGGCAGTGTGGATTAACCATTTTGGGATATTATCTACATGCCTCCCCTCTGAAGGTAGCACTGACTCTTTAGTTGGGCAAGCAAAGTACAACTATTGTATTTGTTTTGTTTTGTTTTTGTTTGTTTGTTTGTTTTAGTGAGGCAGTCAGCGTTAAGTGACTTGCCCAGGGTCACACAGCTAGTAAGTGTCAAGTGTCTGAGATCGAATTTGAACTCAGGTCCTCTTGACTCCAAGGCCAGAGCTCTATCCACTGTGGAAAAGTATAACTATTGTAAATCAAGTTTGCTTGTTTGTTTCCTTGCTAGGTACAGACACCAACCTCTTTGCACAATGAACAGCAAGACTCTCTGCTTCTGCCCGCCTACTCACAACAGCAAGGGACCATGGGATATCACCCCACACCCCAACAGCCTCCACCACCACCACCGCCGCCGCCACATCCTTCCCGAAGGCCCAGCAGTCTATCAGAGTCCTCAAGCCTCCAGCAGCCTCCACGATAGGATGCCAACAGAATGTCAATACACAATCAGCTTTAACCAATGGACAAGAGAGGGACAGGGCAGGGGAGGAAAGGATTTGGGATCTAAACTCTTGGCTTTTGCACACTGCAGAATACATTTCAGAACTCCTAGGTCATAACAAATCTCAGAGTACAGGTTGCAGTGGATAGAAAATTGTCAAGATCTGGTTGTCCTTGGTTCCCCCTGGCTCAGTGGATCTCTGATGTACTCTACAGCCATACATGACCACTCAGACTGGAAATGAACAGTATTCTGTGTGAACCCCATCCTTATTGGGTAAACACTTGGAGAAAGTACTTTTTGCTACATCCTTGTGAGCACATCCATGTTACTCCAGCTGACTGTGGACTGTCTATATGAAATATTTGGCCTTTATTCTTTCAATCTTCTTTCCTTTGCATTTAAGAAGCACTGGGTCAAAGATCTGTTGAAGAGAGAAAGAACAAGAGATTATTTTTATTATTGTTAATATTTTTTTTTGCACAACTGCACAGAAGAAATAACTTAGGCACTTTCTGTATAAAATTAAAAAAAAATAAAAGTCTATTTACTTCATGTTGTGACCACAACTACAAAAAACAGCAGGCAGAGCTGGTCATACTCTCCAACCTAAAACTAACAGAGCAGACCTTTTAACCCTTCCTGTTCTGGTGGTTGTTTTGGGTTTGGTTTCTTTCTTAAGAAAATAACACTGGACTATACCTGTTTACTTTATTAATTACAACTACAAAGGAGGACTCAAACTGTAAGCACAATCATGCAGCTGATGTTCTGGAATTCTGTTGAGACACATAAGAACACAAAGAGGATACATTTCTGCCTCCCAAACAGCCAATCACCTCTGTTTGGGGCTACAGGTCACTGAGGAAAATGCACTGTGTTTTGGCCCATTGAATGGGGATGCTGCATCTTATTACATATCTTTCATGATAAATACCTAGGATTGAATTTTCCTTTAAAAATGCACTTTTTGCTTTTTTTGTATGTTTTGTTATGTTGAGATGTTTCTAAAGAAAAGATTTTATGTAATTATAAAACATAGTGTATTGTACAGCTGTTGTAATAATGACCTATTTCTATAAAAAATAAAATTGTATGGAATTATGTGTAAATTATTTTGTATCTGAAACACCAGTTCATTTCACAAGTATAAAAGTTTTCTTGTGCTTTTCTGTGAGTGGACATTTTGTAATAAATTAACAAATTTGTACAATTTCCTTTGGAGGCAATTTCTGTCTCTTGGTATATTAATATATATATATATATACACACGTATACGTATATATATATATACACATATATATATACATATACGTATATGTATATGGACATATCCGTATATGTATTTATGAATAAGCATGTACTTGTCTTTATTTCTGCATGCATTTATATTCAATAAAATAAAACTGAGAAGCAGTGTGGCACAACAGATAGAAAGCAGGCCTCAAAGGTGGGAAGACCAAGGTTCATGTCCTGCCTCTCATGTATTAGCTGTGTGATCTTGGGTAAGTCATTTACCTCTCGGGTTGTAGGTTACTCTAACGAAGTTTTAGAGAAGGTTCCCTTCTACACTATATGAATGAATCACAGGTCTAGCCCCTGTCACTCAATATAACTATGTCTGAAGAAAAAAAAGGAAACAAATATCGTCTCTAAAGAGAGCTTCATAAAACTGAGAAAGCCAGCAGACTGGGATTCAAATCCTCGTTCTCTCACTAAGACCCTGTAGGACCTTAGGTATGTCACGTCGTCATTTTGGGCCTCAGTTTCCCTATTAGTGATTCAAAGAAGTGGGGCTAACTGGCATCTGAGGAATATTCCAGTTCTGACTTTAAGAGGAAGTGTGGCGTAATGAATAGGTCACTGGACTTGGAATCAGGAAAGACAGGTCTAAGGACTGCACTTGTGATTTCGTTGGTATAGAGAGCTCCCAGCTGAGGAGATTCCTGTCAGTGCAGGTTGGTACCTTCTCTCCAACTTACAAAGTTTCCTAGAGCACAGTGAGAGGTTGAAGGATTTGCCCAGGGTCACACAGTCAATATGTCCCAGAAGCGGGACTTAACCAGTGGTCTTCCTGACCAGTCTATCCACCACACATTGGAAGACCTGAGTTCAAATCCTAGCTCAAACACTCCCTGTGTTGCCCTGAACCGGTTCCTTTGCTTACACTCCACTGTGCTTCCTTGTAAAATATAAAGGTTGGATTTGAAGGTCTCTTCTGCTCTACACCTATGGCTCTGATTCTGTAGCATCAAGTGATGACGTGTCCTGCATAGATGGAAGTATTTGTCCTCTGATCGACCACAAAATTGAAAGTGTCCTGTGGCTGTGAACTTGAACCATGCACAAAGGACAGCTTGCTCAGACAACCTTGAAAGAAACCTGAGGCTGGGTTTAACAGTGAATGTCTCCATGTTTTAACTCAAGAGCAAAGCTATAGATGTAAGTGCTGGTTTGAATGAGATGCCAAGAACACGGTAACCTGCCCTAACTAGACTTCTTATCTGAAAAGCCATTTTAGTTCAAATTAAAAAATCAGGTGAAGGTAATTCACTAGAAAGGTAGCAACAAAATCCATGAATCTTTTCTCTAGAAAAATGCTAGCCTATCACATATAAATAAATAACCCACAGAAATATCCAACTATTCAGAATCCTCCCCAAAACAAGAATGAGTTGAATCTACTTGACTTAGCAACCTGGAAATAACAGGGTCAGACAGGTGATGTTCTACAGTACTCTTTCCTGGAATCCCTCAGCATAACGTGCAGCTAGGTGGCACAGTGGACAGAGGACTGAGCCTTCGATCAGGAAGGCCTGAGTTTAAATCTAGCTTCAGGCATTATGTGACCCTGGGCAAGTCACCATCTGTCTACCTCAGTTTTTCTTCATCTGCAAAATGGGGATATTAATAGCACCTTCCCTTTCAGGATTGTCTGTGACAATCAAACGAGATTTATATTTGTAAAGCACTTAGCTCAGTGTCTGACTACATAGTAGGTGCTTGTTTCCTTTCTTCCAACAGGAGTCCTGGATTCCAACTTTGGCTCTTTCACCAAGTAGCCGTGTAACTGTTGGGAAGATCATATAATCTCTCTCTGCCTTAACTTCAGCATTTGCCAAATCGTTGTCAGTCTCGTCCTCATGGAGCTGGGAGCCTAAAGTGAAACATGTGAGAACACTGAGAAAAAAAATGTAAAACACTACATAAAATGTGGGTGTGTTTCTGAAAGGTGTCTTTTTTTTGTCAATCAAAACATTTAAAATACATTAGATACATTAAAATAGTTCACCGTTAAAAAAAAAACTTAAAGAAAATTCTTTGAAATAAAGAATGGAGTAATTCTTCATTATTCTTCAGTAAGTTCAAAATGTCATCTATCAGGATCTCTGAGAAATTTTTTTTATTTAATCAGCAGTTTTCAGAATCTCCACATCTTAGAAGAAAAAGCTAATCAATGGAGATGTAACCTAGTTTAACTTCTAGTTCTTTATACCAAAAAGACATAAAAGTGTTAGGGAAGGGCAGACCATGCTATTGATTTGTCTTTTCCCAGAGCACTGCCTTTCAGATATTCAGAATCTGAATAAATTGGGAAAACAGATTAGTAATTCCTTTGTTCATTATTTAAACCCACGTACTCAGCAAGAGATTTTAGCTCTGCAGCTTATGATTTATTGACACCTTGTTAAAATACTATTTTACAGCATTATCTTTTTTTCCAAGGAAAAACTATGACCTGTCCATTTGTCTTGGCTCACTGGGTGTGAATAGAGTATGAGCTCTGGAACACACTGGATTTCAGAGGGTTTAGAAACAAAATCTACTCTCCTCTATTGATGGGCATTTCAGGGTTCCTAGCACCCCTAGACCACATCACTATCACTAATGACAACTGCAGTTCATTAAGTAAAAGATAATTTAAAGGCCTGTTAAAACATGCAATATGAAGAACTACTGCAATTATCTGGACAATATCAGGTTTGGTTTTTTTTTTTAAGCCCTTTTGCCATGATTATCTGGCAAAAGGGGAGTTGGCCTGAACTATTCAAAAACTGCCTCTATTGTCCTCTTTGCTTTGTTTTGTCTGTGCAGGCTTAGC